CCAAACCCAACCCCAAACCCAAACCCAAAAAAGAAATACATTAAAATAATGTTCAATGTAAATTTCTCTATAAAATACATTATTCCTAGGGTAATAGATCTATTATAAAATTCCCCTATCACATATCCCCAATCCCCTATCCTAAAACCCCAGGGAAATCAAAAGTACTTTTTTTTACATGGCCCTAACCATATTACTAGCGTGATAGTGTTGTGCTAGGCTAGTTTTGACCAACCCCAAACCCAACCCTTTTGGTAAACAGCAGTGTTCTGGGATTCACCTTGCCAAGCTTAAAAACAAGTGAGGACTACTCCATAAATTAACTTGGAGATCCCCATTAGCCACTGAGGCTTCTCGACCATTTGTGGGCTATGCCATACTCAGCTTCTAGGAGACCAGCCGAGCTTATGGAGCTTAAGGGTGGGCCTGAATTAAACTTAAAGGAATCTATATACCCCATAATGAAGATAGTGATTTATAATAAAGAGATATTAATTAAGGTAGCTTTATAATCATTACATTAGAATAATAATAATCTAATAATTAATAATCACTAATAAAATATTTAATAAGAATCATGATTGTATTTTTTTATAAATTTTATGAATATCTATGTTATCAAAATAAAGTTTGATGTGATTTATATGATATTATCTGCTTTAGTTGTTTAATATTTTGCATAACATGAATAGATTAAATATATGATTGGTGATAATTAAGGAATTACCTTCAAAATAATCATAATGTTCATAGATGTATCAGGATTAGAAATTTTACAGAGAGTCTTTTAAAATTAGAAAATGAAGGACCTGAATTAACAGCCTTTGTAATTAATTGATATATGGAATTATTAGTCAAAGCAATAAGTTATAGTGATGATGATAGATTAAAATTTTCAGGAGGTTAATATTTCTATAATTAATTTAGATGCAATAATGGTTGTATTGCCGCCTTTTTATAAATAAGATATAAAATAATTACACTATGATCTTAGTTTAACATGGAGAATAGCTCTATAAAATTTATTGGATATTTAAAATAAATTAAATGATTCATTTAATTTATCGAATTTGAAATTGTCAGTAAAGATCGATTTTGAATAGGAGATATTAATTTTATATATTTAGGTGAAGTTTATAATAGATCAGAATATTTATCTACAGGAGAACCATTATAATAAGTATTTTAAAGTGAACATTGTGCTACTAAAAGATATGAATTAATAAACTATAATTTTTAATTTGAAACAATTAATCATGATAATAAATAATTTGATCTCGTAAATTAAATTAAAATCGACTCTTATAATTTATAATATGGATAACGATAATGTTTTCGAAATGATTATTAAATTACCTTATTTTAAAGAATATATGTATGTAAATGAATTGAATACAAATAATAATTGATATAGGAACACTAGGGAAATTGCTGTTTAGAATGGTTCAAGTTATTGCGATTGTTTATTCATTTCATAATGCTTAAATTCAAAATACTTACTATTGAATAAGAAATGCAAGAATGTGAATATAATAAAAAGCAGGAAAACGGAGACTTTATAGCTTTATAATCTATTTAATTTAATAATGATAATATTTATGGACAATTAAGTTATGATGGAATGTATTTAATCACTTGGGACAATTAATCAAAGGAAATCTAAATAAAAAAGTAAAAAAATTATAAGAACTATAATATAAAAAATCTTCGATTTGTTTGAATTTTTAAAATTAATATCATATTTTTATAATCATAAAAGTACTTAATTTTATGAAAGGAATTATTGGTAGCTTTTTCAGTATTCTGTGTGGTATTCACTAAAAGAAAAGTTTGAGTTTTCAAAAGAAAAAATGGATTGATGATTTTGATTTATTGTTGGTTAAATGCTATCTCAAACTTATTTAAGAGCATTGAATTGTGAGATTTTTTGATATATTATCAAAAGAATCAAATAACAATCAAGCTATTGTGACTCAAGCTAAAAAATAAAATTACAAAAAAAATTTAATCCTTATTAACTTTATATTTTTATTTGATCTAGTTAAAATCTTGAACTCATAGAGAGGTTATAATACTTTAGTAAAAATTAGGAATTTATTCTTTAGTGTGTTTTTATGAATTTCATTCTAGATTCTTATTCAATGTCAAGCCTACTCTATCAAATTTATCAAAATACTTTTTAATAAAGATAATAAAGACATTGCCTAAAATTCATATGGGTCTCTATATAATTGATAATAAATCCTTACTATTCTTGATCTATATTCCAAAAATCTAACCTATTGATGAAAGTTGATAAGGAGTGACTAATAGATTTTTTTATAAATTCTATATTATATATGTTATTGCCAAAATGTAATTTTTAGGTGATAAAATGAAATTATGTCCATAAATAACAAAAGTTGATGTCTGGCAATATTTGATAATTTAGTCATTTTGATTCAACTTTAATCATTCAAATATCATTCTCATCCAGAGTGGTTCTTGTTTCCACGACCTTTTTACATTTATGTTAATGCTTACATATTCCAGTATCCTAATTATAAACTCTAATTTATTCTTACGTTAATGACCTATTCATAAGCATAATGATAGATTCATTCTCCTTTTATTTTTGAATTATCCCTCTCACATAATAGTAATTATGAGCTTAAATTTCCAGTACAACTATTCATTTTGAATGAAAACACATTTGAATGTAATTTATGCTATTATATCTTATAATCAGATAAAGTTAAATACTATAAGCCTAATCCTATTATATCATCAAATTCATCCTCATTCTTTATTAATCTTATCGATTCTTTCAAAGTTCCACTACCAAATGAATCTCAACTAATTTACCAATCTCATTAAAAGATTAACCCTTAACCTTATTAGAACATTTACTCTTTTAACATCCAATATTCCCACAATACATTGAAAAAAAAAACTGTCTCAAATATACTTTCCTTATGCAATTTCTCTCCATATGATTCGCATATAAGCATATTAGGTACAAATACAATATTTAAACCATTCAAATTTCTATCCGTTGTACATAACTTTTGACTTTGATATTCCATCTATTACTCTAAGTCTATATCAGCTGGAGCTAATGTACCAGATTCTTCAAATATATCATTCTCTTCTACTATCAAAGTATCGCATCCATTAATGATTCATTTAATACCATGTTGATATTTTTTTTTTTCTTATAATAATACTCTTACATATATAATTCTAATTTTTTAAATCCTTTTATAAAATATTCTTCTTTTGCATGATTGTTTTAAATTAAAGTACTGCATTGAAACCTTTTCCCAATAATTTACTTCTAACAATAGAACATGGAAATGTTACAACAAATTTACATTATCAATTAAATGTTTTTTAAAGAATGTCGATTTTTTAGTTCCACTACAAAATTACTTGGCTATTCCATTAATAATTATGCTGTTCTATACAACATAAAAATTAATTATTAACAATAAAAAATTGTATTTAAATAGTTTTGCACGTATAACAATGGACAGTAGTATGACATATATGTGAAATAAAGGTTAAAAAAATTTACACGCAATTTAATAACTTAATTATTTAAATTACTATTTAACAACTTTATTCTCTCTCATTGTTTTGGAATACATTTTTTGTAATGCAATAATACACATTATACAAAATGTAAATTGAAGTACACTATTTAAAATCCAAGATAAAGTTAGTCCATAGCTAGCCAATAAATGTACTTTAATAGTTAAATCCATCTAAAAAATTTTAGTGCCTTTTAATGCAAATGCATTTATAGCATATTTTGATTTTAACTGAATATTAAAAGATATTTTAACATATAAACTCTCTCTTATAATCCAAATCATTGCTTTTTCAACAAGTATCAGAACTCTTTGATAACTTATGAATTCATTAATAACCCCAAAATGATCAATGTAAATATTCCAATAAAATATTTGTTTTTAAGTATCATTTTCGTCTGACATCATTCCTGTCTGTGATGCAGCCTTTTCAGCTATATGAACTAAAAAATTTATATCAAATAATTTTGTAGCATTAAATATTACCAATAATTAAACACACCAGAGGATGAAAGGAGATTTTGTTCTCATATCTAAGATTGTTTTACGTTGTTGATGTGTTAAATGAAATTTATTTGAACGCTCATTATTTCTAGTAATTTTTAAAATACCTAAACAATCAATTAAAATATTATCATTAGGAGATAAATTTCCGCTTTTCATTTAATAATCTTATCTTTTGGATTAGTAGGTCTTTTGATCCATTAAAATTTCAATGATTCTAAAAATAATGTAAATATAAACGAGCAATACTATTTCTAAATGTATTTCTGAAAATGCTTTATTGAAAAGTAATGAACTTCTGAGTTTAATGGCTACTTCTTTAAAATTAACAAAATTAATACATTCCTAAGTATCAATCATCCATTATTTAGTGCTAAAATATTAATTACAAAATATATTTATAAGGAAGAGTGTTCATATGAGTGATTTAATATGATATTAGGATCAGAATCATGTCTTCCACCAATTATTTTATCTCTTGCTAATAATTCAATATTTTTAATTTTATTAACTTGATAAGGTATCTCAATTCTAAGTATTCATAACGATTTTTTTTTCTTCTATATCTGTTTTTTCCATGAACTGTAATGCTTCTCTTAACCTTAATCATTGCGTTATATCATTCTTTGTAGTTTATATTTTGACATCCATTAGGGAAGTAAGATGCTGAAAATTATTTTTGAGTTACCTCTTGAATTGTAATTTCTGGATTAACAAAATACGAAGCAGGTATCTGTTACCTTACCAAGATTATAAGTTGAGATATGAGTAGCCATACCAACTGCTATTCCGCTAGCAAAATTAATTGAAATGTGAGGAAATCTCGCAAATAACACATTGGTTTGAATGACTTTCTGAATTGTAATAATTTTCTTTACAATAAAAAGTAAGTACTATGCATGCATTGGATAATTATTGTAATCTTCTTTCTGCCTAGCTCAATTATAGAACTAAGGTTATTTGACCATTTATAAGAGTTACATCTGAAAAAGGTTGTGCCGTTCTTGTGTATGCATCATATATAGCAGTATCACCATTTACCAAATATTTTGGCAGACTATCTGTCTATATGGTCTATTCTAATTATTACTTTGTTCCCACATGCAAAAAATTGTTATTCTTTGTACAGATTTTAAGCTGTCTCTACAAACAGGAAGTGAACGACTTGCAGCATAACTCAGCTCATCTCGGGAACTTATACAAAAACTTTTATTCAATCTAGAGGAACATTATTTTGAATATTGTGATACTCATAATTCCATTTTATACTTTTTGAGGTATTCTGTTTGTATAAACATCGTTACATACTAAATTAGAAATTTTATAAAAAAAAGTTCATAGTTTTTCATATGAATTATGTTCAGCATATGTTTGATATAATTACTCCTAATAGTACTGAAAATTTTAATTAGAATTAAATACACTTAATTTGTGTATTATGTGTAATAATATTTGTTTTACTTTTTAAAAATGACTCATTTTTGTAAAATGATAGTAATCATCTTTGTTTTATGCTCATAAATATAATCTTTGATTAATTTCGAGCATTAGGATAAATAATACTATTTCTAATTTTTAATCTTGATTATACAGTTGTTTGTTAGGTTTATATACCTATTAAATAGCTCATTTTTTTTTGCAGTTATTCCAATTGGAATATTTATTGATAAGTTTGATGTTAGGAAGATTATGAAGATTTTTAGCATATCTATTTCGATTGATGCATTAATGATTTTATTTCTGTCTATGTTGTCTTGTGTTTTTTCTGTATAGTAGAATTATCATAAGCGGTTTGTCATCATGTGCTATAATGTGTATTTTGAAAATCACATATTTATCTTTAGATAGCTAGATACTATCGAGAATTCTAAGTATTGGAGTAGATGTAAGATTGTTAGGTGCAATTTCAGTTGTATGCCAGTAAGTTTTTTATTAATTCTATTGGGTATAACTTTACGATTTTCATAATGAGAACATTAGGAATAAATTGGCTATGCATTCATATTTATTTATGAAAACTATAACTGACGATGATATTGGAGAAGTTGTTGATTTAATTATATTTTCTGGGTTAATGATCGGTCCAATATAAGGATTTATTTGATTTATGGGAAGAAAAATTTTGGGTGATGTTGACTATTAGTTGGTAGTTCTATTTTAGGTTTATTGCAAATAAAACAAGGAAGCATATATGTTACTTTGTGCATGGATTATTATGTTGTTTCCTTTTTTATTCTTTATAGCGTTCAATTAACAATATTTTATGGGATTGGTAGATGTTTATTGTACATATGGAATAGCTGCTATTCATTTCGGGTTGTTTTTTTAGGTGGAGACCTTACTATTAATATATGAGTTGTTAATATTTTTCCCTGCCTTAAGGACTAGAATGTATTATTTTAGTTATATTATGCTATTTAGATTATTAGATGAGATATTGAGAGTTAATCAGGTGGATGATGAAGGAAAGCTATTTGATTATGATTTGCTACGCTTAGCTTATGTGATAATGATAATCTAAAAGAAATGCTTGATAATAAATTATTACATTCGAATTACTTATATTCTTATTTTTTCACATCCTAATTTTCGCATTAACATTACGGAAAATAAGTTGTTTTGGTATTGATTTATTAAATACTATGTAGTTAATCGAATGAGATCTAGTAAACAAATAATCGTATTCAGTTACTACAAAGTTGCGTTATATTAATTACAATAATTTAAGTTATATGCATGATGAGTTATAATCTCAACTCTTGTGAAATATTTAAATTATACTTTCCTTATAAATGTTATATGATTTTTTATTATTTTATGCTAATTTCATGATGTGCTTGTAATTTGTATAACTATAATAAGCCTAAATTGGCTGTTGAAAGTGGTGCTGTTAATATTGTAGAGATCCTAAAACTACCTAAAATTCAGTTTCCTCTTTCAGCAGATATTGAAAGATGTTTTCTCTTCATCTATTGTAGATTCCATCAGGTATTTTCTTATGGAAGATATATTTCTGTTTATTTAAAGGGTTAGAATAGCACTTATAGTTGAGGTTATATAAGATATGCTTATGGTAGCGATTACAATCGTAAAAACTAAATTGATATTAGGTATTTCTAATAATGGCGTTGCTAAGTTAAGATAATAAATAAAAAATATTTTTTTTTATTTTATGAGAATCTTAGTATTTCATTACAATTAATTTCTACTTCAATAACTTTATTTTTGATAATATTATTTATGCAAAATATTAGAGGTTTATAATAATTTCTGGATGGAGCTTTTTAAATACAGGGTATCTATAATTACAAATGAATATGGAGTTGGATAATATTTTTAAGTATAGCAATTACAGTCAATTAGAAACCAATTATTTATATTTAGAATTTGGATATGAAGTTTAATATTTTGATATTAATGGAGAAGATTAAGTTTCTTAATGTCTTAAATATAAATTATAAACAATTGCATAACTCATCAAAATTTAAATCAAAATAAGAATAAAAAGGAAAGGTAAAAATTCTATTGATTGCCAATCTAATTATAATTTGACCTCTTAGCAATATAAATCCTCAAAAAATGTGCATTTATTATTTTACATTTTTGCAAGTATGAAACTAAAAAATATGAAAAGTAATGATATAATTGGATAATCTAATTACTTCAACTAAATCTTATATTTACATTCTAAAGTAACATTGAATGTAATTAATGGTAATTAAGTTGTAATTTTATAATAAGTAGTGTTAAATGGTATACAGTGTTTTCTACATTAATATTATTAAGAGTATTTAATAGAATTTGAAATATCCATAAATACACACCTTGAATGCCTATTTCTACTGTGGCAAATGCTATCGATTGACTTATTGTTAATATATTAGGAGAATTTGGAAGAATTTATCTCGTATAAATTATAAATAATTTTGAGTTTATTTATGCTTCAATCATCAAGAATTACCTTTTATTAGAATAGTAATAAATTAAACGTAAGATAAATATTCCAGCTAGAAGAAAGAATATTTATCTAAAATAAAATAATGAAGGTGTTCAAAGTTTATTGAAAGGTAAAATTGGTAGTGAATCAATATATAATATAGTATTTTAATACTACCAATTAATCATATAAGGCAAATTTAAAATAGTCAAAAAGGGAAAGTATCTGAGCAAATTTTATGGTTATAATTGTATAAAACCAGAATGTATTATAAGGATGTATAACAGAAGGATTAGCTATCGAAGCTTTCAATTTTTTAGATTTAATTAAAAAACAATTAAATCTACATAATTCTTCAAATTAGTGAACCTTTAAAAGATACAGGAAAAAGTAATTGTGTTAGCAGAATAACTATTAATAAAATCCAGATGGTAATTGGAGTAATTTTAAAATAAAAGTCAAACTTTTAACCTATACGAATCTGTCTGCCAAACCTGTAAATCTAAAGAATTTTACCTTTGATAGATTATTTAACTTGATCCTTTGCATTTATTTTACATTGCTAGGTATGCATAGTAGTTTTTTAATAATTAAGAATGTTAATTTTACGCTTAATTCTGATTGGAATTAATAACATTATCTTACTACAAATCAGTATGGGTTCTTCTATTTTAGTCAGATCATTAATAATCTTAATTTTTTTTAATTAGTATCTTTTCCATGGATTTCATTAGTACAATTACAAACAATTTTTCTCTATTATTCAGTTTTATTTAGTTAGTTTATAAGGAAGAAATTGATTTCTTTTTTTTGCTGATTTACTCTAATGGATATCAGAAATAAGGTGATATTGATCCAATAAATATAACAGCATCAAAACATATTAAAACATATTATCTACTAAACATACTATTGTAACACTTATGCAAATTTATTTTTCTTTCTTCATCTGTCATATTGCAAACATAACCAACGGTCACGAAAAGTTAGCTTACACGTATTTCTACTAATAGAGATTTTATACATTTTTTTATGTATAAATTAATGATGTTTCAGCAAATACTTTATTGGATTAATTTAATTTAATTTTCGATATATGAATAATTTCTATCTCAAATTGATTCAAAACCTATACTCCCCATATTCTCAGAGATTTTATGCTGAAAATTGTTGAAGAAAACTTCAAATAATGTTTGAGCATTATTTTAACATTCCTTTGGATATTTTTAATTTATGTCATATCTATTTTGTAAACTTGACCATTCAATACCTTTAATATAATTTGCTAAAAGGAGATCAATTTTTTTTAAGAATGCTGGCAGTATATTCAATGATTTTTGAAGTAGAGACCACTTTTAGAAATTTAAAAGAAATGCTTTATTTGTAATAAGTAATTACTATATGAAGGAAATCATCAATAACATTAATTTATATTCCAAATATAGATAGAGTCAATCTTATTTCTTAAAAGTGTTTATATTAGAATATTTTTACATAAATCCATTCTACTCAAATATCATTTTGCTATTTTTTTTATAAGCATGATACTAAGTATTTGCATATTCTTTTCTACACTTATTTTTGGCTAGAACACTAAAGTTATTGGTATTTGATTATTTATAGTATAAAATATAAGATTAACAGAAATCCTAAAATTAAATAATAATTAAAATGCATCAATAGTTTCCTAAGATAAAAGCGTGTTGAGCAGATTACATCATTTTGGAAAAGTGTAAATAAATTAAATAAGGATCAAGTGTTAGAATAATTAAATGCAAAACAATATAGCTTAGAAATGATGATTTATAGATTAGAGATCATAAATTTCTTTAATGATTAAAGTTAATTGGTAAGTTCGATAGAAGACTAAAAATATATATATTCATTAAATTTATTATTTCTTAATAGAAGGTAGGTTAAGAATATGTTATTTCATTAGGAATTATTGGATTTATAATTAATAGAATAGATTGGATTTAACAATTTACAAATTTTCATTCCCATTAAATATATTTAATCACCTTAATTGAAATTTGTTTTGAAATGATGTATATATATGTATTATCTAATTATAAGTTGAATTAAATAAATTTCAAGAGATATGATTGTTATAAAATTTTGAATTAGTAAATGTAATCAGATTAACGAGAAAAAATCTCAGATAGATACCATAAAAAACCTCTTGAGGTTGATCAGTGAATTCATTCTTATTAAACAAATAAAGTAATTGAACCCAGATAGGAATTTTAAATGACCATCTTTTTTTTGGGGATATTTCTGGATTAAGTATTAGATAAAAATATAACAGTACTTTGAGATTTCATTTAATAGAAAGAAATTGTAAAAATGATCAGCTTTATAAAATAGTTTTTTCAATATTCCAAGGAGTAAAATGTTACCCATATAATATTTATGAATAAATAATTTAACCAGAAGGGTGTCTAAGAATTATTTGTTATAATCATGAGGAAGTATAAAAGCAATTTCTTAGCAATCGAATTATTAGTAAACAAAAAAAATAATTTAATTTAATCAACCTATAATTTATTTAAAGTTGTGAAATTTTATTAATTTGAGAGGATATAACTTAATTATATTTAGATGTGAATTTGAACTTAAAATAGAAATCAAATAATTATTAATCTAATATGTAAATGATACTTCTAAATTATAGTTCAGGTTAGTGAAATAGGAAATGTAATGTTTCAAGATGATACGGATGACTATAAAAATCAAATTAATGAGAATTATATAACAGAGATATTATTTAAATATACAGTTTTTCTTTGCCCTTCTGTTTTTATTTTCCTTTTTTTTAAATCTATTTTTATAAAATAGAATATAAATTAAATATTATCATTTAAGTTTGAAAATTCAATATTCATAGCTGCAAATGCTGATCACGCATAAATAGATTCATATATTTTTTTTCTTAATCATTAATGAATTATAAAATATTAGCAAAGATTGTAATAATATAAATTTATGGAATTTAATTCAGCTTAAAATCATCTCTTCTTCTATCATATCTAAGGACTATGAATCATTATTAAATTTCGAAAGGAGGCGAAATTATTTATTATGGAAACAAAAATTAAAAAAAAAACTATTAAAATTAACAAAAATCATCAACTTTTTCAAGAAATAATCTTTCAAGATTATTTTCTTAAAATTAACGCTTTCTAAATTTCATCTTATTTGATTAAAGATAAGATTATTTTCTCTACTAAAATAAATTATTTAACAAAAGTATTTACTGTTATTTGGTCATTATTTTCATTGTAAGTTGGCATATTTTATAATTTGTAGTTGTATTTTAGTTTTTTCATTTTCTTATGATTATTTTAAATGTTTTAAATGAAATATTGTAAATATAATTGTCAAAAGGAAGAAAAACACAAATTATATCTTGATTAAGTTTATTTTGATATTTATTTATTTTAGACTCTCTTGCCTATTGATCTTATATAGCTCTAGTTTATTTTATTTTACTCTTTACTGACAACTCTAAAACAATATAATTGTAGTCAAAATTTGTGATTTGGTATAAATAAATTAATTTCTATTTTTTTAAGGTTTCCCTAACAAATATCTCATTTTTTAAAATCAAAAAAATAGAGAAATCGAATGAACTGTCTATATTTTGTTTGAAGTAGCATCTTTATCCTCATTCTTAAAGAATCTTTTATTCAAACTTCCTCTAATAACTTAAATGATTTGCTTTATATCGAACAGAAATCAGTTTTCAAAGAAAATATATTTCGTTATTAATAAATTGAGCTTAAAGAAGATAGTTTATTCATAAAAATAAAATAATTTTGATTCTATAAAATCAGAGAGCACCTATAAGGCTCTTTTATTATTTTAATATTCAGCTCGAACTTCTGACTCACTCTATCACTGATAGGGGATATATTTCTATTTATTTAATAGATTGATGGCAAATCATCTATGAATTAGATAATTTTAAAAAATCATATCCAAATACTTCCTACAAATTATTTATAATGATAGATTTTATTATATAGGAATACAAAAATCGTAGATTTTTTTAATCAATTTTTATCCTAAAGAAATTAGAAATATATCTAAAAATTTATATATAATATAAATTTTCAATTATATTACATTTACCTTCGTTTTCTATTCTCTATAATTTCCATTTCTATCCATGTTCTTACTTTTTTACCTTTTATATTTTATTCACCAGTTAAAATGATTTATTTATCCCATTTAACCAATTTCTAATCATTTTCTAATTACCTTTTTGTTCATATTATCCATCACCACTATATTTATATTATATGATATTTACATTTATTAATATCCCTTTAATAACTATTATCATACATTATATCCCATATACCTACCTTCCTTTCATTCATAATATATTCATTTATTTATTATTTTGAAACCCTTAATCTAAATCAAGCCATTTTCTTTACTTTTACCAATATTTATTGTGAAATCCATCAACACTAAGATAAATTATAAAATATGTACATTCCTTATTCGTAACACTGATATATCCAACTGCCTATTCTCAAGTTATTACTATATTCTCCAGTTTCGAAAACTTGAGCCCAAGTATTCATAAATTGAAATAATAATAAATATTTTCCTCCAAAAATTTAGGAAGAAATCTTTCCATAACCCTTGCTTCTAGCCATCATTAAAATATAAAATATTCAAATAATTTTCACTTTACCCAAGCTATGTATTTTCCATGTTTTTTTTTGTTCTAAACAAGGTTTAAGATTTGATCGATATTGTTAAAATTTTAGGACCACTAAAATTCGTCATTTATAATCATTTTTATTTTTAATAATTATTATTCTTTATTACATATGAATAAATTCAATTTTTTATGATAAAATCTTAGGATTTAAAAGTATTGTCAAAAAAATAAATTTTTTTTTCCTTTCTGGTCATTCAAATTAAAAAATAAGCAGATTCACAGCATGTTTAGATTATCTATTTTTTTTCGACTTGAAGGAGACAACTTCTTTAATAAGACGAATTCAGCATATAATAATCTTCTTTATATTTGGGGAAAACATATAATATATTTTATGATATCTCCAAAAATGAATGATCAATTCACCTTTCCAAAATAAAACTTCCTTTTTGCTAGAATAATGTTTTTAAATCTATTTCTAAATGATTAACAAATTCACCTTATAAAATTAAAGCGTTTTATGCTTAAAAGTTTTAGATTTCTGATATAATGAGAATAGTTATATTAGAGGTTACTTAAAATAACTAAAATAATACCAATTTCAGGAAGAGGATTGTTTTAAAATAAAGGAGTTTTAACTTAAGCTAAAAAATTTTTGTAACATGTATCTGAGGATTCAATTTATTATCCAGTTTTACCCTCCTTTAAACAGATAGATCCATCATCATTACCTGTAATTAAAATAGTACCATTTGTAAAGGAGCATTCTGACCAGACTGTATGACTATGATCATTCATTTTTACTTTTTATTATTATGTCTTAACATCCCATAAACGAATAGTTTATCCATACTAGCAGAAGCCAATAATGCACCATTAGGAGAGAAACATATGGAAATGACTGGTCTATAATGACCATTCAATTTGGCTTTTTATGATCCTGTTTTCGCATCCCATAAACGGATAGACAAATCAAGACCACCAGATGCTAATGTAGTACCATCAGGAGAAAAACATATAGAAAGTGCTTAACTAGAATGCCCATCCAATTTTGCTTTCAATTATCCTGTCTCAACATCAAATAAACAAATAGAACATACTCTATCAGCTGCTAATGCCAACATAATACCATCAGGAGAGAAAGATATTGATTTGACTCCTTGATGATGGCAATCAAATTTGGATTTTTGTTATCCTGATTTAACATCCCATAACCACACAAACTTATCATCTCCTTCACTATGACTAAATTAGGCTTTTTATAATCCTGTCATAACATCCCATAAACGTATAGATTTATCATCGCTGCCAGATGCTAATGTAGTACCATCAGGGGAAAAGCTTACTGATTCTATAAAACTAGTATGACCATTCTATTTGGCTGTTTATTATGTCTGTACATCCCATAAACTTATAGAATTATTTGAATTTGATGCTAATATGCTACCATCAGGTGAGAAGCACACTGATTAGACTCTTTCAGAAACAAATTTGGCCTTTTATTTTTCTGTCTTAATATCCCTTAAAAGGATAATGCAATCCAAACTACCAGAAGATAATGTAGCCCCATCTGGAGAGAAGCAAACTGATTAGAAAAAATGAGCATGACC